TCAGGTTACCTGAGGACCCTCACCTGCCGCTGCCGCCACTGACAACAAAGGTTGATGGCATGGTATGTTTGTGTTTGGTGCTGTCCTGGGGCTTGAACTCAAGGCTTACGCACTGTCCCTGAGTTTTTTTTGCCCAAGGCTAGTGCTCTGCCAGTTGAGCCACTGCTCCACTTCTGGCTTTTTGGTGTTGAATAGTCAATAGAATTTCGTGGACTTTTCTGCCCAAACCACGATCCTCAGATCTCAGCCTCCTGAGTAGCTAGGATTGCACGTGTGAACCACCAACACCTGGCTATAAAATGCTTTTAAAAGTAAAATATTTTGCCCAACGGTACGTTTTCAGTCTGAACATCAAACTCTGGTTTTGGTTTGACAGTGTATAAAAAGCAAAATCGCATGTGCTGCCAGGCCTGCGCTGAGCAGGGCCAGAAGGGGAGGCTGAGGTGTGCAGGAGCTGGGAGCCCCGCGTCCTCACGGGCGCCGTGGTGGGGAGCAGGCCGACGGGGCCCGCCCCTCTGCTTCTGTGTGCCTGACACTCCACAGTAAGCTGTGGACAACGGCGCTCATTGCTTAAAATTACAAATGGGAGTGCGTCTTTGCATGGCTGCCAGACAACACTGAAATGTCGGCCAAAAATATTTCTGAAGACTTAGGGGCAGTTTCTATTAGAGATAATAGTATAAATCAGAAAGCCGTGTCCCAGTCTCCCAGCGGACAAGGTAGGACACATTGTGAGGTTGCCTGCCGGGCGCCGGGCCTCTCCCTGTCAGCGACTCAGGACGCTGAGATCAGAGGTCAGCCAGCCCCGGCAGGAGAGCTCCATGAGACTCTTACACCACTCAAGCCCTGAAAAGCTGGGAGTGGAGCTGTGACTCCAGTGGTAGAGCACAAAAGCTCAGGGACAGCACCCAGGCCCCGAGTTCAAAAACGTCAGGCCTCCTGTCTGGCACCTAACACGGTACCCAGTGTTTAACTCGTGTATAATCTGCAGTCATTGCAGACTCTGTAATAATAAGCCCTAGCGATGGAGACTTGGCTTTAGAGATAGAAACTTGATTTCCTAGGAGGGGAGGCAGACATGAAGGTAGATGGAGCTCCGTGTGGTCTCTACCTTCCCCCTGCACCTGGGGGCTGGAAATTCCGGCTTGTCTGTGGGTAGGCGGGCCCTGCAGCGCCTCCTGGTGGTCGTGGTGTCTGCACCAGGCCTGGAGGACCATGGAGTGGGTGTTGCAGCACTGGAAGAACACCGTTTGAGTTGGGCTGTGGGGTTGTCTCCTGCCCCCCCCCCCCATCCTCGGTGATAGGATCCCGGTCACAAGTAGTTCCTCCTCCTCCATGCCATGCTCTGGCAGAGGAAGTCATCCCCACTCAACGAAAAGCAGCTCCCTCTGCACAAGAAGCATTGTCTACTTAGAATGAATGAGTCAAGCACAGAACTTCCTATTTGCACTCTTTAGAAAGAAGCAGCACTGTTTAGGAATCATACCGTTTGAGTTCTGGCCACGTGGACGTGTCTGTGATGCACCGTGTGTGATCCATTGATCCAGTAGATCTATAATGGCTTCTTGCTGCTGCTTTCATCCTACCCCTGCCCATTCCTCCGAATTCCTTCCACAAACTGAACTCTTAGAACACATCCAAATACCTACTAAAACAATGCTTCCCTTTTGGTCCGGTCGTGGGGCCTGAACTCTGGGCCTGGGCGCTGTCCCTCAGCTCTTCAGCTCAAGGCTAGCGCTCTACCACTTGAGCTACAGCACCACTTCTGGCTTTTTTTTTTTTTCTGCTTATGTGGTGCTGAGAAATTGAACCCAGGGCCTCATGCATGCAAGGCAAGCACTCTACCACTGATCCACCTTCCCAGCCCTTGCGATTTTTTTATTGAGATACAACTCAAATGCAGTAAGTCATGGCACTTTATGTAGATAGCCTGATGAAGATTTTCATCTGTGTATTCCCACTTCCAGTTTCAGAGCCTTGAAAAGCTCTCGACCCTCGAGCCCCTATCATCTTTCAGATATAAGCTGTATTTTCCCTGTGTCGGAGGTTTTGTAAAACGAATGTTCTGTATTTGGTTCCTTCCACACAAAATTGGTCTGTACAGTTTGTTCATATTGATGCATATAGCTGTGGGGTTTTTCACTGCTATGTCATATTCCTTTGTGTGAACACATCACAGTTTATCCATTCTCCTGCCTGTGTCTCTTGGGACTGTTTCTTGTTTGTGGATAGTGTGACTAGCATGTCTTGTGTTGGACATGAGCATTTCTCTGCTCAGTGTAACTGCACAGTCGCAGGGTATGCCTGTGTGTCTGGACTTTTGGGGATACTGTAGATGATAAGCAGTTCCACACCTCCAAGGGGTTTGAGTCCCTTCTACTCAAATCCATTTTTATCTTTCCCAGAAGTAGTGATTATAACACACACATAAATGGAGGTATACAATGGTGATTGGTCCTCAGATTGAAAGGAAATGCTTGGCTCGGGTGGTAAAGCACCTGCCCTGCAAACATGAGGTTCTGGGTTCAACCCCAGGTTCTTTGTGGGAAAAGAAAACAAGGACATTCTCAGGCCAGGTGTGGAGGTACACACCTGTAATTCCAGCTCCTGAGGAGGCAGAGGGGTATAACAAACTTGAGACCAGCCGGGGCAGTGAGCCAACCCTTACAGGACAGGATCCGAGATTTTCATCTCATCTGAAATGTCTAAAATGAAACACTAAACAAAAGGGCTGGGGGCAAGGCTCAGCTGGTAGAGCACTTACCTAGTAGGTACAAGCTCCTGGATTCGGTCCCCACTACCACACAAAATAATAATAACCACAACAAGGACGTCTGCTGATCTTTCATCCTCTAGCTCAGTTCTCCACCACATCAGCTCAAGCTCCATTTTCATAACATGTAAGCCTCTTGAAGTGGGCAAGAAGCAAAACAAGGTGGGCAATCATATTCCTAAATTGAGTGTCGAGACTAGAGACTGGGATAGACTGGAAAGCTAACCAGCGTTTGGCTTGTTGCCGGAACTTTTTTTTTGGAGGGAGATTGAGCCCAGGGCCTGCTGCTCTCAAGACGGGTGCTCTGCCACTGCCCGCCCACACCCTGCCTTCCACCGAGTTGAGTCGGTGCATGTTGGGCACAGTACACAGCTCCAGAAACCAGAGTTGCATGGGCTCCACAGACCTGCCTGTGGGGGGAGGCAGACTGGCAGCCACGGCCCGTCTCGGGAGCATGCCGCCTTGCAGCTTCGGCAGGAGGAGGCGTGGACACTGTCCACAGGAAGTCGGGTCTGGGAATGTTCCCAGCCGAGGAAGTGGGGGAGGAGGGGTCGTGATCACAGGCATGAACAAGAATCCAAGCCAGACACACCCAGGGAAGGTAGAGAAATTGAAAATGCAGTGCACTAGAGGCGTGTGGAAGGGAAGAGAAGCAAAAAGTAAAGCTAGAAGTGTAATCAGGCACCAGACCACACGCCGCTTTGGAATAATGTCTGTAGCAATCCACCAGCATCTCTGAGGAATCGGCCTTATCAGCCTCCCCACTACCATCCGTTTACATCCCAGCTTCCAGATCGAGAAGCGGTCCCGGGAAAAGAGGGATTGCTGCCCCACAACGCCGGCCTCCGGGCCCGTGTGTGCCGGCCCCAAGCCGGACTTTGTCCTGGGAGGTCAGCTGCTTAGATGCGGCCGGGACGTTGTTCAGGGTGGTGTTTCTCAAGCTTGTCGCATTCAGATCCCGTAAAGAAAACCCATTTCCATGGACCGTGAATACTGACTTAAATCCACCTGTGTTCCTTAATATTGAGACATAATTAGGGATTTGTTATTGGTTTCTGTCCCTGGTTCCTGGCCGAGTTCCTAAAAGCTTTTGTGGGCTCTTTGGCAGGGTCTGGTCACCAGCAGGACAAAGCCATGCTAGGGGACAAAGCCACTGACCCTTGGGAGAGACTGGAGGAGCCAGAGGTTGACTTTATTGATTGTACTTAGGCGGTGACACCTCTGTAACAATCCCCAGGAGACTGGAGGGAGCGTTCTGGCTTGACACGCCAATTGCAGGGGTGAAGCACACCGAACCCCTCAGACACAGAAATTTGGCATCTGAGACCCTTTCATGCCTCACCCTGAGTACTTTATCAGTGTTCTTCATCATATCCTTTATTTAATAAACCAGAACACAGTAAGCAAATGTTTGCCCTTGTTCTGTGACCCTTGTGGTAAGTTTCTCATCTGAGGAGGAGTCGGGAGAACCCGCGCTGTTGTACAGAACAGTTGGTGCGTGGCGTTGGCCCAGGCTCGGGCCCCCTTAACCGGTGCTGTCTGCTGTCTCTTTTTTGCGGGGGGGGTCCGGTTGTGGGGCCTGAACTCTGGG